AGTCTTTATTTCACCAGACTAGTACAGTTATGTCTCAAGTGTGTCACACATTTTGAAAGAAATGAGCGGCTTTTGCCTGGCGCAGCCTTTTAACGGCGTCGCGGGTTGCGGACGGACGTTGCGAGCGTTCAGGATTGCTAACCCTAATCACTTTTCTCCGGAAATGAAAACGCGTGAAAATTCGCATCCTTCATACCGGTACGCGCCACTAATACCTTGAACTTGAGCACACGCATGAAATGCGCCAAATAAGAAATCCGGGCGATGTTCGAGGACACAAATGCTTAGAAATCACCACTGTAGTCGAAGTAAACAAACACGACGACACGGGCGTTTCTGCCGTCTTGAGAGCGCCGCCACGACATCGCCGCACAAGTAGGTGGATCTTCCCTTCTAGTACGTGCTGGGTTATCATAGCGACACACAACGAAAATTTGCAGTCAAGGATAGCGCTTTTACGCGAACGATGAGATGAACGCCGTCTACGACGACGATCACAATTGACGCCATGTTTGCGGATAGAAGCAGCCGGCCCGCGACCGGCATGCGACGCGCGCGAACACTTCTCCTCCTTCTCCTCGACCTGCGATTGGTCTGTCGTTGCGGTTTGTTTCCAACGCAGCGGAGGGACGCACGCACGTGAACGACACGTGCGTGCGTCCCTCCGCCGCCATGGCAACTGAAGCCTCTCTCTTCGCTTCTCCCCGCTCCATCGAGCAACCTCCGTGCCCCGCGAGTTCCGCTTGCGGCTCGCGCCGTCAGCGCCGTTATCTAGTGTCGCACAGGGAAGCGTGCTCGCTGCTCCGGTCGTCAGCGCGATCGGCGGGCTGTGCCAGAAACCGCGCTGTAACCGGTATTTCCCTTTGCGCGCCTGCATTTTAAGCGGTATGTAATTACATGGAGTTCTATGGGAGGCGAACCGGTGGTTTAAAAAAAACGTGTTATACCCGGTCCTGCACTATAAGCGGTTACGTAGTAAGTGGTCTATACTGTATCTGACAATTGTGCAGCTCTGGGTAAATTTCGCAAAAGGCCCAGGTTTAACCGGAAAGGGTTGGGATAAAAAAGAAGCAACAATTCTGTTTTATATTGGAAAGCAGCCGACTCTCCCAGCAATACCGGAGGTATTTTCCAGAGAAGGGATCTCGTGCTCTCTGTTTTTTGTTAGCTTGCCGTTTTGCCAGCGACATCTTTTGCTTTGGTTTGCATATACTTTGGTCCCACGACTGATCCGATTTAGAACACCAACATGCTGTCCGTTTTCAATAGAACAAGAGCAATCACACTGTAGTCTCAATTCACTAGGCTCACCAGTCATGGAAACAAATATCTCCTCATGCAACAGCTTTTACTTTGCTAACAATTTTCATAGCAGAGTCGATGGAGCAGAGATGCCTCTTTGTGCGAAGCTCGTGCTTTTAGCCTAGTATGGTGGTATTGTCGTCCGAGTTGATTGGCATGAGAAAGGGCTGAGAAGCAAATACTTGGAGGAAGCATTACTTAGCCCAAAAGAAAACAGAATATTGTATGAGTTTTGAAGAGATTATGTAAGCAGAGCTCCTTTCCGAACGGAAATGAATGGACGAGATGAAACTATTGCAGTAAACTTTCGTTAGTTCGACCTCGGTTAATTAGAATTTTTGCTTTCGTTTAATTTGATCGTGTTCGTTCCAATTTATTCCTTTATTTGTTTTGCTTTATGAGTTGGAATGTTCCATAAAAAATGTGAATCCAATAATGGCAATCTCTATTTGCAATAGTGTAGGAAATGTGTGTTGTCCTAAAAGTGTAGGAAATATGTGTGAGAGATACGCACTGCTTTGGAAGCCCACAACCGTCGAGGTGCGCCACGGGGGCGAGAGGCTGTCCCGGAATCCTGCGTGGCGCCTCACAAGAGGAGGGAAACTGGAGTCGAGGCGTGCTAGGCGGCGGAGGAGCATAAAGAGGAGATTGCGTGGCCAGCCAATGTTCAATGGCTGTTCGGACTTTCAAAGGGACTTTTTTCACCTTCGTGTTTTAGCTGTTTTCTTTTTTGCTCTAAAACTGTCATTTGAGGAGTGGATTGCCGTAGCTTCCTTTTTTAAGCTTATTTATACGACTGCCAAGAAAGTAGACTTTCATAAAACCGGAAAGAAAAAAAAGGGAGTTATTTTTTGTCTTGTTAATTTTTATGTTGAATGTGACGTCAAACATTATTTGAGATCCTCTAGCAATTAGTGTAGTCATTCAACATTATGCGCATGCAGGAACGTTAACAGTTTTCCTTATATTTTACCATTTTTTTATCGATTCCACTTTTTACCCGCAGGTGAGGCTGTCACTTGACGCAAAATTAGACTTTTTAAGTTATTGTTGTCTCCTACATTAGCGAGATTAATATGCTCGATTTCATCAAATTGATGCAATACAAAGGAACACTGACACTCCCGAAAAGTTTTTTTTTAATTTTTGCTGGTGTCGGAAGACCACCCAATCAATATTTTGCTACACTGTCACATATATTTTTAATAAAGCAAAAAACAACAACAAAAAACGCAACCGCTCGTTGCCAAAATTGAGACGTGAGCACGGAGTTAATGGCCACGACAGGGGGACGGGGGAGGAGGGAGAAATGTAGAGGAGAGAGTTGCCGGAAATCACACTGCTACAGCCGACCACATAGTTTTTTGTTTTCCCTACATTCCTTTGGCTCTGTGAAGCAAACGAATATTGCACAAACATCAAGCACTTTGTGCTTGGCATTTGTACGTTTTTTAAGCTCTTACCAATTTGTGTTCGTAAGGCGAGCAATGTCTTCAGCCACGAGAAGGGGCAACGACTCGGCGACATCTTCGTGCGAATCACGCTTGGTGGTCGGGTGTGTCGTACGGAATAAACCCTACGTGTTTCGATCGCTAAACAATAAAATTCTCCTTTCGAAGATAGACAGATTCACCGGTACCTCGAATGACAGTTCTGAGGTAGAGGTCCCACGCCCGTCGTCTGCTTCCATCGCTTGGTCCGGTTCATCCAGCCCACGGCTCCTGCGATACGACACCAGTTTGAGAAGTGCACAGTATATGTACTCCATGCTATTTCTTTCTTTTTTTTTTCTTCAATCAAAGTATTCGCAGCTTTTAAAAGCCACAAAAAATGGGTTTCTTTGTTTTTTTTTAATATTGAGTGTGTGTCTTTGATGATCCACTGCTTCGATTATATTTGGTGTGTCTGACTGGCAGGTGACCACGGAGAAGAGCGTGAGCACGGCTCAAACTGGCCAGTTCTCAGTTGGTAGTTTTTTTGGAGTAAAAGAAAAAGAATTTTGAGATGTGGGCTTTGGGTTGCTGGACCAGATACCCTGTCAGTGTCTCTTTGAGAAAATAGACTTTTGGAGGCCATTCTCTTAAACTCTAGAAGCGTGATAACCAGGTTTTGCACTTCTAGGACATAACCAGGCATAAAAGGACACAACTAAAAAAAAAACATTTTTGTAAATGCATGAATAGGACAGGTCTGTCACAAAAACTTTTCCTGATAAATAAACCAAATTTAGAGCCCTATCTCTGTTGCGAGGCAGACTCGGGGTTAGGAGGGACTCCGCAGCATGCTTCTACTTTGAGTGAAAGGAAGCCTGCTTGGGAATCCCTCGGATGAGTCTCTGGACCAAAATGTGATGGAAATTTTGCCAGTCTGGTGCTTTACCCCCATGTTCCAGCGGGAAAAAATTGCCCCTTGAATGGCCAAAAAAATGTTTTAGAGCACAGCTCTCAGGCGCCCGTTTCCAGCTTGAGCGGCGTCGCCGTCGACGTAACTGCGCCTGTTGCATTATGGGAATAATCCAAGCGGACGTAGCTGCGCATTGCACTATGGGAAAACTTTTCCTGCTCAATTTAGCGGAAAAATTTTCCCCACTAAATGTACGAGAAAAATTTTGTCTAAATTTCCCACTCAATGTAGGAGAAAAATTTTGTCTAAATTTCCCACTAAATTTGGCAGGAAAATTTTTCCTCTAAATTTAGCGGAAAACTTTTCCCGCTCAATTTAGCAGAAAAATTTACTCACCAAATTTACTAGAATAATTTCCCCATTAGCGGAAAAGTTTTCCCCGCTAATTTAAAAAGTTAGGAGAAAAAATAAATTTTTCCACTAAATGTGACGAGGAAATTTTTCCACTAAATTTAGTGGTAACATTTCGATGCTAAATTTAGCTAGGAGGTGGGGCATACCCTCTGCTCCTCACATTCCCCTCCTCCTCCTCAAGAGCTGCGTTCTAATGCGGCATTACTAAGAATTGTAAACCTCTTCTTTTTTTGTAAGGCTCGTTAGTATATTAGGCTCCTGAGAAAATCAGTCGTCCGCTTTAAGTCCTTAGTTTAAACTTTTTTCGCCCATTGGAGAGCAGGACAAACGAGCCCAAGTATGCGCGGGATTGTGCCACGCGGCCTTCTCCTGCGTGATAAAGCCCGTCCACCATGATCATTGAATGTCAATAGATGCGCCTGCAGACTTGGTGTGTGAAGCCAGTTAGAGCTGCACCATTTTCCAAACGGCGTCCGCTACCGATGCAGCAACTCAAGTTTGGGCTCCCAGCTAGGCCACCAAAAAGACGGTGCTGCGAGAGGTCACCCTTCGCTCGGGCAAACCTACCATAATTCGGGACTCGAGCGTGCACCGAAGCTCGTGGAAACTGCCGGGGGTTCGCCAGACGGCCGCCGTCCGGTTTGGGCTTCCCTCCGCAACGGCACTTTCAACCTTGGCTAGCATTGCCGCGCTCACGTTAGCGGACAACATTGGGAAGCTGGCGCCTGCCAGTTCGGATGCTGCGTTGGCTCATTCCTTGGTGAGGAAGACACGGTGAACATGTTAGCCAGTCTTAACGAAACAGCGCAAGGTCAATCTCAAAAGGACAAACACAGCGCTTCTGTTTGTCCTTCCGAGATTGACCTTGCGCTGTTACCTTCGATTTGATGATGCTAGCCTGCCTGGAGTGAAGCAGGTGCTAAAGGAGGGCGTGTTTGCAGTACCTGCAGCTGGCGTGCACGCTCAAGTACTACGGCTACCTGCAGTTTGCCCCCTGCCACTGCGACTACCCGCAGCCCGACACCAGGGTGCTCATCAGCGCCGGCGGCAGGGAGCTCAACTTCCGGCTGGCCCTGGCTCAGGTACGTCACACGCTGCCTGGGAGGGGCGGATGTTACACTCGCCGCACTCAGAAATACTTTCGGCAGCCCCCAATCACGGGAGGGTGCTCCCCGCTCTCTGGGAGCCCTACAAAAGGACAAAGGAAGGCTTTGGTAGCAGTCGTTTCTAGGGGTGTGCAAATACTCGGAACACACGAATTCGAAGCGAATAGCGAGTTCCCGAATAATTGGATTCGCGAATCAAATTCCTAGTATTCGGACGCTCGAGTATTCCATATATTGAGCCAAAGACGCACGGTCGGCGTGGAGCTAACAAAAGAGCTGTTTTTTCCTCCGATGTTAGCACCGTCATGTTCGACCAATCATGCGAGAAACACATCTTGGTCCTACCATTCCACAAAAATCTAACGCACAGGTTAGAAAAAAGAAAACGAATGCCACAAGCTTCTTAGCATGGAGATTTAGTCATGATTGTGACGCAATCTAACCTTGAATCACAACCGAAACATCCCGTTTGCGCTGCTTCCAGAGAGGAATTGTGGGGAGGCTGGAATTCTGCGCCATGCCTAATTCTTTTCACGAGTAAAGCCCCTCGTTTCAAATTGAAGCGCCGATGTAGAACACACTTACCACACTCGCAGAAATCGGCGACTGCAAGATCTCATATAGAAAGCCACAAAAAATTACGCCAACGAAACCAGCCGACTTCACTTCTTTGTTCTTTCGGAACTGCAACCTGCAAATTCTCATTCGGAATGAAATGGAAGGAAAAAATAGTGTGCCTAGATTTGAGAAGGTTTCCAACCGTTTGATAACCACGTTTGAATTACAAACTGCGAGAAGGGGACGAAAGCGTCGACAAGTTAGTCGTCGTCGCTCTTCTGTTTGCTTGCCTTCTTTGCACGCAACAACACAACGCATGCACACTTACGACCAATCTGCACTGAAGCCGTCTCCCCTGTTTCAGCTTTCCTTGCTCCCTCTTTGAAATCTAGGCTCTCTAAGACGGAGGAACCGATGCATAGCGGCAGTTGGACGGTGACTTGCGCCACCTAACCATGTTTTTTTTCTTACTTCAGATTATATTGTTTAAGCCTGTTTGCTGAGATTAAACAGCTATCTGTTTATATATATATATATATGTATAATATATATATATATAAATAAATAATATTAAAACGCCAGGTGCCCTTCTTTTCCCTCCCTTAAAATTGAGACCACATATTGCAAAATGCCCCTTTTCTGAGATATATAAATATTAAAAAAAGGACATGTCGCGGTGTTAAGTCATGCTTTTAACGAGAAAAAAAGGCACGCGTGGCTGTAACTGGGGTCTTTGTGACGTTAAGGGTAGATAGATTATGTTTGCTCCATAAAATTGGATCTTTAGTGCCCAACATCCATCAGCAGCTGTTTTTTTTTTTCTTCACGAGAACTTGTATACATTTGAGCTTTTGTTCCTTAGAGATCCATATTCCATACCTGCCAACTCTCCCGAATCATCTGGGAGCCTTCCGAATCTTGATAGCATCTCCCAATTGTACGGATGCGACCTCAAAACTCCCGAAGAATGGCCACTCTAGGTTTATTTTTACTTTTTTATGACACCCGCCCTATTGCTAAAATCATCACGCACGTGTCAGTGCGAGTTACTTGAGAGTAGGTTTAGGTTACTCCAGCGGGTTACCTCATGAAAACTCAGAGCAGCCGCATAAAATGAGGGTAGATTTTCAAACGCCAAGGTACGAAACCTCTACTTCTGAGGAAGTTTGAGCGTATTTCGAACACGGCTTTATATGATCATGGGTGCACTAGGCTTCAGTTGGCTTTGTCAGGTCGTCGAGTGAGGTGCGGAACACCGAACTGTTCTTAGTGTTTCCCCGAGTTTAGTTGGAACAATCAGTGGCGCTTTCAAAAGCCAGGAAGTACTTGCAAGTATTTCTGAGATAATAGGCGACTGAGCTTCCATGCTTTTGTCGCTTCACAGAAAGTTGACAAGTATGGATTCTGTATCATGTGCGGCTGTGATGTGTAAGCGTTTTGCACGGTGGCAAGTTTGACATCAAGACACACATTGCTTCACGAAAGCATCAGAACCACGTTTGTGCCGTAGAAGGGCACCATTGGCAGTTGTTCCGAGCTGAGTGCCTCTTCACGTGGTTTCTTTGTCAAACTAAAAAGAAAATTATTGTTTTGACCCCCCCCCTTGTGCACGGCGGTCTCCCGAATTTTTATGTTGCTAGGTTGGCAGGTAGGATATACTGCCCCAGGCACATACTTTGCACATATAATAATCTCATTCGCAGCTCACTTTGAAAAATCTCTACAAATAAAATCACTATTCGATTTGGTATTCTATTCGAGAACTACTATTCGGTATTCAGACACAACTAGTCTTTTCTGATGTATTCTTCTCCACCGAATCAACCAAAAGGGACCTTCCGTCTTCCATTAGACCCCACGTGTAAAAGGGCGCCCCTAGTGCCAACTGGGACAGGCTGCCATGTTTAGGTCGCTATAGCAGACGCCACAATGTTGTTGTTGCCCGGCATTTCACATTCGCCGATGTGTAGTGTCAGCTGGCCACGCCTGATGGCCAGAATGAGCTAGGTGAGCGATGTCAGGAACTGCTCATACAGAATTGGGGCATGAGGACGCGGGACGGTTCTAGCTGTTCTCTACTGGACTTGAAGGAAACAAGAAACCGCGATGCGTATGTACAGGGTGTCCCCGAAAAAAATTTACGGGGTTTTTTTCACCTCAAAAATAAACTTCGCATCGCCGAAGGTTTGCCCGAAGGTAGCGCTAGAGGTTTGAGCTAGATGCCAATGTTTCAGCGCAAACCAATATTTTATTTAAAAGATAGAAATGACTACTTGAAAATGTCAATAGAAAAATGGTAGATGACGGAGCTCTCGAATGCATGGTGCTCTATGGCGGTAGAAACCGAAAGTGGGCAAAAGTGAGCCCCATTTTCTTATGGAAATTTTCGGAAAATCCCTTATAACGACGAAAATAATTTAATGACGAAAATAAGGACAAGCAGAAATCTCCAAACGCAGCTAGTTAACTGGTGCGCGACCGAAAAAAATCTGCCTGGTCCTGGTATCGAACCAGGAACCTCTCCATTTTTAGTGGAGAGGTCCCTGGATCTCTCCACCGGAAATGGACCCCTTCATTTCCAGTAGAGAGGTCCCTGATTCAAAACCAGGACCAGAAAATTTTTTTCAGTCGCGCACCAGTTGTCGCGATCAGGACGACCAGACGGTCACAATGAGACAGCAACCGAGGTGGCCAAGGAGGGATCAAGAGAGCTGCACACCCAGTGACTGCCGAACAAAAAGGAATTTCATTTGCCCGCTGCTCCCGGGAAGAAAACAATAATACCGCCGTGTGGAACGGTGGCGCCATCTGTTAGATGGGCACAACACTACATCCCTCTTTCGTAGGGTCTTCTGTAGCCAAACCTCGAGCTTATAACTTGAGCCTCTTTAGTGGCTCAACTTGCCACCCATAACGGGGGCCCGAACACCTTGAGCAGTCCCAGAGGTGCTAGGCACATCCGACGAGTCAGGAGTCAGAACGTTGGCTTGTGGCGCAGCTACGGGGCTTGACTGACCAGGTGCGGCTGGCAGTGGATGGCTCCAGATGCTTTCGGTTGCATTGCACAACCCCACTAGGCGCCTCGATGACGTAGGAATGGGGTCGCTGTGCCTGGTCTTGCCGCACACGAAATGTCCTGGACCCAAGCGTCCTCGCCTGCTTCCAAGTCGTTCCTTTGACGACTTCGCACCACCTTGTCTCGGCGTCTGACGACCTTTGGCGATGGCCACTTGGGAGCGAGTGATCTGGTGACCCCTGGAAGCCAAGTCTGTAGGCACCGCCCCATCAGCAGTTCCGAGGGGCTGTAGGCAGTCACGCCAGGGGAGTCACGATAGACCAGCAAGGCCATGTGCTGGTCGTCCGACTTGACAGAACTCCTTGAGCGTCCGGACCATGTGCTCCGCTTCCCCGTTTGCTTGGGTACCTCAGGCTGCTTGTCTAATGTGCGAACCCAAAGGAACCAAACTCTGTCCAAAAAAAATGTGGACCGTTGTCTAATACCACAGGGTCCGGGATTCCAAAACAAGTGAAGGAGCTCTTCATAGCGGTAATGACAGAACTTGATGTCGTAGACAAAAGGCTCACCACTTCCGGGAAGTGAGAGTAAGTAGTCCACAAATGACGACATAGTGCAGTCCCTTCAGTTCAAACAGGTCCACCCCGACTCGCTGCCACGGATGGTCTGGAGTGGGAGTTCCGACAAGACAGGCCTAGCGTCTCAAAAATGCGACGTGCTTCTTTGTAACCCATTGTGTAGAGCAGCGTGTGCACCTGAACTTCCCCGGACGCTTGGTGCAGGCCCGACGGAAAACTTTAATAGTCGAACTGAAGAATCCAGTGTAGCCACTTGTCCGGGTTAGGGAAGTTGAACTTAGGCAGCGGAGCCAGGCCCACACTTGGAAAGGTGACGGCGACAGGGAGGACGCCAGACTCTCGTGCCCCCTCAACTTTCGCCATGGCGGAACGCAGAAGCAGAGGTGGTCACCACGTTGGCGATGAATGTGATACGAGGTTGCGTGATGGTGTGAAGCAGCGCAATGGCGAAGCAGCATGAAGGCGGCTTGAGGCTTGAGGCTGTTGAACCCTGGGAAGCCTAGCATGGAAGGCGGCCCACGCTAGGCCATTCCAGTTCTGACACCATGTCGCGACCAGGCCGACCAGACGGTCACGATAAGACAGCACTCGAGGTGGCCGAGGAGGGATCAAGAGAGCTGCACACCCAGTGACTTCCAAACAAAAAGGGATTTTATTTTCCTGCTGCTCTCGGGAAGAAAACAATAATACCGTCGTGGTGCAATCTGTTCGATGGGCACAACACTACACCAGTCACCTAGCTGTGTTGGAGATTTTTACAGCGGAGCTGTTAAGGGCTAGGTTTCCCAGGATCGCATCCGGTACTAAACAAAGGTCGACACCAAACTCAGGACAGGTACCGCCATCTATGAGCGACAGCGGCAACCACACGACCGGCTTGCCGGCCTCGCTCATAGACGGCAACCTCCAGCCTTTCCACTCTGCTTTTCACCAGAGTGGGAAGGCTGAATTTCTCTAGGCGTCGTCCTAGATGTCGTCCTCGAGATTGTCCTAGAAGTCGTCCTTGAGGTCATCCGAAACATAGTTCTTGGGGTTGGCTTAGGCGTCGTCTCGGAGGTTGTCCTAGGTGTCGTTCTTGAAGTCGTCCTAGATGTCGTTCTTGAGGTCGTTGAAAAGTTTACCATTTTTTTTTTCGGTGAATAAGGAAGAAACACCATCGGACACCGGATCTGATGATCCTTTTAACTGGGATATTTGTGATCACTCAAAGAATAACGACACATATACAGTGTACGCTCATTATAACAGACCTTGATTTTGACCAAGATTTCAGTCTGGTGTAAAAGGAGTATGTTGTATGCAGGTATGAAGTCGAGTCAATGGTGCGTAAAAGAAAACCAGCCAACTTCACAAATCTGTATGTTATACCCAAATGTCTGTTGTAACCAGGTGTGTTATAACGAGCTTAGACTGTACATACGTGGTCTTCGCTACAACTTCCGCCTGGACAGACCTCAAAATCACAGAATTCGCGGGCGTAATCTTCAGCGCACTTCTTTTTCCTCCCCATTCTGATGATGTGACCATCTAAGGTGATGACCGTACAAAAACAAGCAAAATCGCAAAAAAAAAAAAAACTATTGTATACCGTATTTACTCGCAGAATGAACGCACTTTTTTCCCGAAAAATCGATGCAAAGTTAGGGGGGGCGTTCATTACGCGAAGTAAAAATTTTGTGTCCGTATTTACTCGCATAATGAACGGACCTTTTATCCTGAAAAATCGAAATAACATCTTATCTCTTTGCGCGCGGCGCCCGACCCCGTAACCAAACTAAACTGTGCAAAAAAAAACTTGTTTTCTTTTTCTCTTAGTTCCTTTTTTTTTTTTTTTGCCGCCTTTCGCAAGCTGTTTTGTTTGCTTAGGCGAAGGCTCTCCGCTTATCTTTCTTGCGCGCGGCGCGCGACCCCCCCGTAACCAAACTGCGCTGTGCAAAAAAAAAAAGAAAAGAAAAAGCTCCTCCTTTTCTTCTGTTTTTTTTTTTCAGTTCCGTGTTTTTTTTTTTTTTTTTGCCGCCTTTCGCAAGCTGTTTTGTTTGCTTAGAGGGCTTCTCCGCTCCTCTTTCTTGCCTCCTTGCGCGCGGAGCGCGACCCCCCGTAACTCTGCCCGTAACCAAACTGCGCTGTGCGAAAAAAAAAAAAATTGTTTTTGTTTTTTGTTAGTTTTGTGGGCTTTTTTTTTCTTTGTGCCGCCTTTCGCAAGCTGAGTGGTTGTTTGGGCGAGTTGGTTTGACATCTTATACAATCTTGTGCGCAACAAAGACGAGGACAAAAGCAGAGAAGAGGACACAACAAGGCGCAGAAGAGGACACAACAAGGCGCTTTGTGCGCCTTGTTGTGTCCTCTTCTCTGCTTTTGTCCTCGTCTTTGTTGCGCACAAGATTGTATAAGATTTCGCAAGCTGTTTCGTTCGCTTAGAGCGTTTCTCCGCTTCTCTTTCTTATCTCCTTGCGCGCGGCGGCGCGCGAACCCAAAGTCCAGACCTGCGCTGTGCAAAAAAAAAAAAAAAAAGCACCTCTCCATGTTTTTTTTTTTCTTGCTTCCGTTGGATCTTCGCGAATTTTTTTTAACGCCTTTTGCAAGGCGTTTTGTTCGCCCATGCTGCCCATGCATTCGCGACCTCGCTGCACCAGGATAAAAATGTTCGTTCATTTCGCGCGCGTGGGGAGAGGGGGTCAAAATTTTGACGTCCGAGTTGGGGGTGCGTTTATTACGCGAGTGAAAAAAAAAGTCAAAATTTTGAGAGCCGACTTGGGGGGTGCGTTCATTACGCGAGTGCGTTCATTGTGCGAGTAAATACGGTATATGTTTTTAATTACAGGGAAGTTTGAGAGAGGCTGTCAAGAAAGGTATTAACAGCTTTTGTTGATGTCCTCTGAAGTGCATGAAGTGAAAAACCACATACTAGCCCACATGAAAGATGTGGTTGTGTTGTCCCTGTTTTAATTGTTTATTCTTTCTTCATCCATGACTTTAACCAACACGCTCTTCTACCAAGCATAGCCCACATCCAATCTTCTTTTTTAGGACCGGGAACCTGACACACTCGGCCCGATCACAGAAAGGACAGAGATGTGAAGGCCAATTTAAGACCTCTTTTGTTGCATGTTGAACTTTGGAAGAGGGCAATCACGAAGACGTCACACCATGTCGAACCTTGCAAAGCCCTCTCTCCCTCTCCCCCCCCCCCCCCCCCCCCTGTCCCACCCACCTCGATGCAGCCCTAAGAAACTGACCTGTTTCGGTTAAAACCGATGGATTCGGCAAACTTTTATAGGTTTAAACCGAAAACTCTGAACCCTCCTTATAAACTTGGAATAAAATACTGGTTGTTGCTGAAACTTTGGCATCTGGTTGTGACCTCTAGCTCTACCTTTTTAGCGGAGAATGAGCGTTTGGCCATGCATAGTTTATTTTTGTAATGAAAAAACTCTATAAAATTTTTTTTTAAACGCCTCGTACATTAGTGTGATGACATAAAACATGGTGCGAGAAGTAGAGGAACTACAAACTTTCCCCACGTATGAGCAGGTAACTTTGCTGCATATAACACAGTAAGGGGTGCACCCCAGAAACTGATGGCGGCGGCGCTCAGGATGAGGCAGAGAGCTGTGTGTGGCAAAATATCATGAAATGACGACACAAAGTTCCGATGCAACGGCGCAATAGGGTTCAGCTCATTGTGGAGGAAGCTGACAAAACATGGCGATTTGCTATCCCAAAGTGCCATTTGGGGGGGTGCATTTGTAAAAAGAGTCTATTGGGGCGTCAGCCATTGCACATTTTTCCTTTTCTCGGCAGCGGCTGGCGTACCGGCGTACCCTCAAAGGCCCCAGTCCCGCTCGATTTTGTGTTGGCCGCCAGTCGTGACATCCCGCACGTTGCGATTGGCTGCCCAGAGGCTCGGGAGTCTGAGCCGCCATTTGCAGCTCAGACTCCCGACACAAGCGCTCGAATGGGCCGATATCACCGAGCATTTGGCACACGCGTGACGCTCCCGGAAGCTTCGTTTGCGGGAGGTAGGTGACGGTGCGCAAGACGGTTCGCGCCGTCTCGTGGTCTGCGGCACCGCGGAGGGGCTGTCGCGCGTGCAGAAAGACCCTCCTAAGCATTGTGAAACTGGCCAGCGAGATGGGTCTTCTCTCGTAGCATGGTATAAAGGACTGCCAGAACCCCGCTAGAAACGACGGGAGTGCCTTTGATATGGAGAGAGCCCGGCTCTTGTTGGAGATCTGGGGGCAGGGGGGGAGCGGGGCCTGAGCTCGAGTTCCTTCCCCCAGGACCAGGTGAAGGAGGTCAGCTTCCGAGTGACGAGGATACGCTGCTGGAGGATCACCACCGCCGTGAGTACCTTCCTGGGCACTGCAGCCGCCTCTCTCGTGACATGCAACGCAGGTTGGAAAAGGGATTTAGAATCTAAATTTTTCAGTTTCTGAGGCTCAGAATTGCGGATCAAAAGCAGTTCATTACTGCTATAGATTACCCGACCAAGTACAGTCATCAAATTGCCGTAATTTCATTATTACCCGAGCATGTGAGCGACAGAAAACTGTCAATCTGGCTGATGCAAGAAGCACTTGTGCTGGGAGAGTTCTAGTGAGCTTTTAGAGATGGGTTATGTCTTTGTTCCTTTGCAGGTGGGAGAGGAGGTGAACGGAGAGGGGCACACCCAGCAGAGGCTGGAGCTCTCCTTTGAGTACCTCATGAGCAAGAACAAGCTCCAGTGGGTCACTGTGGTCAGCAGCCAGGTGACCGGATCTCTCCTGCAGTCGAGAGGGGCATTTTCTTTATACATTTTATGTTGGTTCAAGGGAAGCTCCTCTCACGTCTTTCCAGCAGAGCCAACGATGGAGGCGACCTTTGTCGTTTGTCCTGCTAAAGGGCAGGGACCAGCTTCCCCTGAACCCTGTCACCAACTAAAGGGAGCTCAATGCACACACTTAGAGTAAACCCCCGTTAACTCAAACACAGATATCTCGAAAGATCGGCTAAGTCTTATCTTTTTTTGGCTTTGCAAAATTCATCCCCATAGGCACCATGTATTCTGACATTGCTTATCTCGAAAAGTTTCCAAAATGGCCATCAATGAATACCTCAAAACCTTGTATGCAAAAAAAAAAAACAAAAAATGCTTGAAAGGATTAAAGCTAAAGAAGAAAGCTTATCTCCATTGCGGACAAAGCGGCTGCAACCTAAAAATAACCCTAACAAAAAAAACGGCTGTTAAAGAAAAAAAAGAAAAGAAGGAAGCGTTGCGGACGCACCGCCTCCGTCTCGTTTCGACAATGTTATTGCAGTGGCAGTGTCGTCTGTTTGCTTTCTGCCACATCGTAACCACCGCAAAGATGGCAGAGGCGAGGCAGCACAGATTGTTGACCTTGGAGTGGAAAGTGGCCCTCGTCTAAGAAGTTGAAAAAGGGGGTCGGACAAAGTCAAGCATCGCCAAGGAATTCAGCCTTCCTTTGTCAACACTCTCGACAATCGTCAAGAACAAGGACAAAGTCTTGGAAGGATTTCAGCAAACCTTTTAGAGCAAAAGGTTTGCTCCTTCGTCGGGAGGCAGCGTGACTCCTGACATCCAATCAGCGGTTTCGCAATGGCTACAGAATGTCCGCGCGGCCAACCTTGCAGTGAGTGGCCCAGTGATAATGGAGAGGCAGACGCCCTGGTCCCGCAAATAGGCAAACTTCAGCTGCAGCAAGGGCTGGTTCGATTGATTCAAGAAGTGAAACAATGTGGCGTCCATGCAAAGAGTGGCTGATGATAACCGGCTCAACCACCGACTCGTTGAGCTGCATAAGGATTACCGCGACAAGGACATCTTTAATCTAGGTGAAGCCACCCTTTAAGATGGTACCCAGGCGCACCTTTACACCAAAAGGACAAGCATGCACAGGTGCCAAGCAGTGCAAGGACAGGATCACGATACTTTTCGGAGCCAAAGCTACAGGTGAAGCGAAGCTGCCTCTCCGCTTTTCGGCAAAGCCAAGAAACCCGCGTGCTTCCGCCAAGCTCGCTTGCCAAAGGAGGTGATCTACCAATCTAACAAGACCGCCTGGATGACAGCGGCGCTCTTTGAGGAATATGTGCGTGCACTGGATCGCAAACTGGCAAAAGAAAAGCGCAAAGTACTTTTTTTTGTCGACGATTGCTCAGGACATGGGAGAATTGGCAACCTCAAGGCGATACAGTTGGAGTTGCTGCTCCCGAACATGACCTCTGTTTTCCAGCCAATGGATCGAGGAGTGATCGAAATAAGTCGAAAGCTGTATAGAAAAACATTCAGCCTTTCCAATCTGGCGAAGAAGGAAGACCAGCAGAGCTGTTCAATGGAAAGTAATGGCTGGCCACAAGTCGGCAAATCAGAGCGCAGAGCCGTATATGGGAAGAGTTTGGCCAGTCTATGATCTCGCCGCCGTAACGCCAGTCAGCCCGCGGCGCAGAGCGAGAGTCGTGACTGCTTGCGCATGAAGGCACACGCATGAACTCCCGGCTGCTCTCAGCTGAGCGGGGAGGGCCGCCATTTTCATTCATTCGCCCGGCGGAATGCATGGGATCGACATCAGAATTTCGGTTTTCTCTTTTTATTGGGCAAGCTCTGGCAAGAAAATGATTTAGTGTTAAACATTTTAGTGAAAAACCCTAGACTGAGGTATTGACAGACGACAACAAAGAAGAGAAGGAGAGACGTTCTCCTTCTCTTTTTGTCGTCGTCTGTCAATACCTCCGTCTCGGGTTTTCCGCTAAAATGTTTGATATACACCAGCTCACCTGCACCCTTACGTTCTGCTCACATAGTGTTATTCCTCGGTGGCTTAAAGAGCTAATGAGTAAAGTTTCTCTACGTTTGAACGCAAACTTTTATTCAGGCGAAAAAAAAATAAGCCCGTAGCAGACGACACGTAGCCTCCACAGTGCTCAGTGCGCTGACAGCATTGCGTCAAAATGGTGGTCGTCTCCGCTTTGCTGCCTTCTTTCTCTCTCGCTCCTTTGGCGCTCTCCCTTTCCTTCACTTTTCTGCTCTCCAGTGCCTTTGTCGCCACACCCACTGGCCAGACTCTCCCCATATACAGCTGTGCCAGAGTGGAAAGGCTGCCGCCATCTACGAGCGACGGCGGCAACCAGATACGTGGCTTGCCGCCGTCGCTCATAGATGGCGGTAGGTGTCCAGGGTTCGGTGTCTTCACTTCTTTGCGGAGGACACGATCCTGGGGAAACTAGCCCTTAACAGCTCCACTGTAAAAGCCTCCTCTGACAGATTTTGTTGTCCTACAAGACCGGAAAAGGGTACAAAGTCGACCTCCTAGGCGCGGTTCACCTGATCAAGCACTCCTGGAAACAAGTCATGCCAACATCGATTGCAAACTGCCTCAGGCATGCAGGGTTCTCTCGCACCCCGCTAGAGACACGGGCCATGCGGGAGTCCAGTGACTTGGATGAACTCTGTGACAAAGTCTTACTGGTTGTGCGGACAACGGAGTGGACGACAACGTCGACCTTGAGGAGTATGCTTCGTACGAGAGAGGTGTCCCAGTGACCGGCGACATGACCGATGCTGAAATTATCCGGGCAGCTTTGGGCAACGTGGACGACAAAGAGGAGGACGATGAACCACCTCGAGAGATTTTGACGTCGGCCGAGACGTGGAACATGCTGCGTCTACTCCAGAACAAGGTTGAGTGCAGCAACAGTGAGTGATGCGTTCCTTGAAAATGCTTCAAGATGCTCTTGTGGCCCCAAACGCGAAGCAAACGGATATTGCGAAGTTTTCCAGTGCCCAGTAAGTGAGTGGGAGAAATAAAATGTGTAGCCGTGCAGTTACCTGCTTCCCGATTTTATTGCAAACGTGCATCGCAACACCTCACAGCTCCGTGACGCTCGCATTGCAAGTACCGGGTACGCTTGTTTCTAATTAATTTTCTCTCGTTGTAGTAAGTGATTTCTTGCTAGAAAAGTGAGCTGTGATTGGTACGATTCTCGGAAGCGCTAGAATTTCTAAATTCATGGTCGGTACTTTGGAAATTTCAGTACACTGCTTATCTCGAATATTTTGCTTTTCTCGAAATTTTGCCGGTTTTTAGGACTTTGAGTTAAGGGGGGTTTACTGTACTTCTCTAAAATGTTTTTTTTTTGGGGGGGGGGGGGGGGGGCAGTGTATAAAATTGCTTTTGCATTCTAGGGACCTTTTTAACACATATATTTTTTGGGGGGAGGGGGAGCTTGATGCATTGTCTTATTTCTTAAGGCCCGTTCACACTCTTGCGACCTCTTAAACCTGGGTTCCTTAAAACTTGTTAAACCAGAAAACACACTGGCGCCATCTATTGGGAAGCAGTGTAAACTCGGCGGTCCGGCATATTTTTTTTTATTTCTCGAGAATTATCCTTTCTTTCTTGGCTCGAAAAACTTTTGTCAATGTTATAAACGAGCCTTTCTATGGGTATTACGCACATTTGACCTCGGAAATCCCGCAAAACCTTCGATCTTGTGAAATGCAGTTCCAGGGTCACCGCATAGATGGCGCCACAATGCCAGTTTGTTCCCTCATTTTAAAAACATTTAACAAGTTTTAAGAGAACTCGTCTCTCTCAGTCGTACTCGGTCGCACTCGGTCGCAAGAGTGTGAACGGGCCTTTATACAAATTATCTAAAAATTGCTTTTTCCTAATCCTAGGGAGCTCAGTGCTGCCTTATGTCTTCCTTCATTTGTTGTAAAAAAATTGCCTTTTGTGCATTTTAGTGAGCTCAATGCACCGAATTATTTCTTCTCGAAACCGTTTGTAACAACAGGGCCTTGAAATCCTGGTTATTTTGTAGTCCTTGAAAATGACTTGAATCTTGTAATTAGTTCTGTAATCAGGGATGGTTCCTATTCTTTGTTTCATAAGTGTATTGCATTTGTTGGTACTGTGTCGATCGTTTTTGCTCGGCGTATAATTGAGTAGGATAACAGGACGGGCAGTGTTTTGGGGTGGGCATTTGTTTACAGTAGTCCATGTTCCAAGTGGAGTATGACGCGGATGGAGCGGTCTTAGAAGGGGCAACATGGCGGTCTCTGGGTGCAGGCGATCCTGCTGAGCGTCTGCCTCCAGGGCATGGTGGGGGAGCTGCTGCTGAAGAAGCAAGGCGCCAGCCGTCCCGGCCAACCTGGTGGGCTCTCGCACCCCAAGGCCGGCCGCAGGGGCTCGTGGAGCTTTCTGCGCAGAGACGGCAGCGGCTACCAGATCTCGGTCAGCCGCTCCGCCTCCAGCGACGGCATCGTCCGGGACGCCGTGAGTCTCCCACCGCAGCTCTGTGCTGGCTCCGCATTTATGCTATAGATTCTGGGTAGATTCTGGTTGGCTTTGCACTACCGTACAGGTCAGGGGCGGCCAGAAAAAGCCATGACGAGGAAGCATCTTAGACGAATAACCGCAGCAAAAAGGCGGCATGACAGCTTTTACAGCGGAGCTGTTAAGGGCTACGTTCCCCAGAATCGTGTCCGGTATGTCGACACAAACCTACCTGGACAGCTACCGCCATCTATAAGCAACGGCGGCAAGCACACAACCAGTATGGTTTCCGCCGTCGCTCGTAGATGGCACCAACCTTTCCAGCTCTAATAGAAGGGTGGATAGTGGCGCGCTGGTGGGAATTCATCGTAAGAAACAGCGCAAAAACCAGGCGACGACGAAGAAGAAGCACACATAACGAGCGCAGCGCTCGTCACATTTGTTTCTTCGTCCTCGTCTGTTTTGCGTGCTGTTTCCTACGCTCTTATCAGTTTCAGTTTGAACTCACGATGGGTTGGCCGCGTGAACTTTCTTCGGGGAAAGAAGACCGGGTGCGGAAGGAGCGGCGACGTACGCAGCAGCGTGAATGGGTCCGCAACCGCCACCAAGTTGCTGTCACCTAGACTTTCATTGCGTCCAGCGCTTCAGATCCCCTTCCCAAAGAGCACATCGCTCGCCTGGAAAGCTGCCGCCGAGAACAGAACCAGCGATGTAAAGGGTGCCGGCGGGCCAACGCCACGGACGACGATCGTGCCACGGAGACGAAGCGCAAGCGTGAGGCCCGGCGACGACTGCACTCCACACCGGCTGAACAGCTCCCGGGTGCGACGGCAAGGTTCCGGAGGGAGTTCGTGGAGAACCTGTTTGGCACGTGCGCCGTGTGCGACCGACTCTGGTTCGCCGGAAACGTATCCACGATTGGCGTTGTGTCGGACAAGAAGAAGCAAGAATCGGGCGCGTGCGCGTTGCAGCAGTGTATCGAGTACAGCTCCGCTGGTCTTCCTTCTTCACAAGAGTGGAAAGGCTGAATGTTTTTTTCCTACTACTCGCCAGTCACGGGGAATTCCACTCATAAAATGATTGCTCATTATGTTCCTTCATTGCACATCATTTGTGAATCAAGCACCCTGTTGTTTAGCTCGAACGATGTCCGTGGGTGTTTACCCGTCGGGGTCGCACGCCCTTTTGATTTGACCACCCTCATTGTTGAGAACAGTGCCTTGCAAGAATACATTGATGCGAACACCGACACAAGTTTCTGGCTGGCCAGCTTGACGTGGGAATACATCCTGCAGCTGCAACCCCACACTTTGCCCATTCGCAGCCCTTGGTTTCCTTGGAGTTGCACTTTGAGTGCTCCCACATCTCGTGCAATGTCTTCCTGCCTGAGCAGTCTCCTCTCGGCACGTCAGTCGCAAGAGGACGTTTCTGGCACATCTTTAGGCTGAAAATCTTTCCCAAGATATTTTTTGAGCTAAGGACTAGTCAAATCAAAGTTGGGGAGGGTAGTACGCTTATCGGGGAGCCACAAGTCCAACTTGGACCTGCTGGAGGGACAACTCTAGTAGAGATCTTGTGTAGATTGCAGTCTAGTTACCTTTAGCACAAACTCCGTTGGGAAAATGGCGGCCGACAGAGTTTTCAAATACATGGGGCTCTATAGCATCAAAAACCGAAAACAGGCAAAAATGGGCTCCATTTTCCTATTAAAATTTTCAGAAAATCACTTATAACTTTTGAATACGGCATCGGATCGGGCTGAAACTTTGGCATCTGGTAGTGACCTCTAGCGCTACCTTTGGGCTGAGAATGAGTGTTTGGCGATGCCTAGTTTATTTTTGCGGTAAAAACAAACCCTGCAAATTTTTTTTTTGTGCCACCCTGTGGATGCTGAACGTGTCCTGTTGGTTACCTTTCACTTTGTCCTCGTCTTTGCTTTGTTTTGTTTTTAATTATGATGTACATTTTGCGTAATTTTCGGTATGTTTCCTCATAGATCATGGTATGGGTTCTGTGTAGACTATGTTATGATTTACATGTAGATGGTACAGGTTTTGTATAGGTTACAGTATAGGTTCTTTGCAGGTTATGGTATAGGTCCTGTGTAGATTATGGCAAGAGAAGAGTATGCCTACGAATGATATAAGTAGCACGAAGGACAGATTTGAGTACAGGTGCCTACTTTGCCACCGCAAGCTTTTTAGGGGTGTCGTATCTCTGCCAAACTTTTCACAAAGTGTTGTAGCCGTACCAACTTTATGTCAGCATCAATTTTTGAAAGCATCAACTTATGCTTCTGAATTGACATCCTTGCGACACGGTAACTTTGCAGTGAAGGGGAGGAAGAAAGAACCGCATGACAAATGCCTCGGTATTTTGTCAACTTGATATCTTATCACTATGTTAGAATAAGTTGCTCCAACAAAGTGGCAGTCAAATTTTGCATAATCTTAGTTCTCACGATGGATTGCTTTCAGTGTGGGTTTTGAGGTCGGGGTTAACGCGAGATAAATATCTGGTTGGCTATGAAATGTTTGGCTACTTATGGTTTCTGCTTGTGACGACACTATTGTAAGTATGTATCCGTTGCAAACAAAGTGTTCAATGGTGCCTGTAAAGAGCACTAAAAGCTCAGACTCATTGCATTCTTAAACTGACACCATGAGAGTGGACAGTCTAACATAACTTTGATTTCGGTCCATGAAAGCAGAATTAAGCCTTTTACGGACATCTTGGTGAGCGTTTTGTCAGTCGTGGAAAGCTGACTGCAGTAAAACTTTTGGTCGTGCATGTAGCAGGCTTACCTGTGTGCACCAACATTCTGACAGCATCTTTGTCCCTTGTTCCTTCCAGGGAGAAGATTCAAAGCCCAGGCCCAGAGATTTCCCTAAAAAATTGACCGTGAGTTCTGATCTTGCTGCATTCTGAGAATTGAATTTAAAGAATTTAGCCCATAGATTTTTTTTTAATATGGCTACTATAGTCTCTCATTAAAGAAAGTCTAAAGTACAAAGAACAATTATATAATTTGATAAAGTGGGGGGCAGCAGAAACAGTAACGACGGCCATGAAAATAGACGGGAACAGCACAAAAGACTTAAAAGAAATATTTAATTGAACCAGCCTCGGTAATGAGTAGTTTTCAGGATTGTACTGGGGGGGGGGGGGGGTAATAAAAGAAGTAGCGTATTTCCTCGCCTGTTACCCGCATTAAGATGGAGATCAAAGGGAAGGCAAAGTAGGAGTGATACGTGAGTTGACGGCGGTACGTCCCAAGTCGTAGATTCCCCAGAACTGCTCTCCTCTCCAAGGGACTTCTCTCCAGTTGACCATCCTTACTTCGTTTCTGGGTCTTTGCATTGTTTGAGCGGTTGAACTGAGTCAGACTCAACCTTAGCGTGTTGTTTGCCCTCGTTCGTTCATCATGAGCTGCCCTTGGTGGCAGTCATTTGTGACCACGAGCTTTCCAGACGCCATGAAACAGTTACACAAAGTGCTGCATCGGCAATTGTTTGATGGCACGGTTCAGGACACATTCTGCTACAGTGAATAGTATTCGAAATGAGGGTAGAGTTTGAGATTGCTTTGCATGCTTAGTGCAGGCAATATGCGAGCTATTTGGGAGTAGTAAGCGAATAATGCTTGCTATTTGATTCGATTCGCTTCGCACTTTTGCTGTTGGAAGTATTCGAGTTTTTTTAATACTTTGGAAACTACGAATAATGCTGAACTCGCCGATTAGTGTCAACTCGCGGTCGAGTTCCCTGTCTTGTTTTTGGACAAACCCAAAAAGCCAACCGAAGTTCCTTTTTTTTTTATATGGTACACTGGAAACTTATTTGCGGTAGTGCGATCTGTCTTCTGCTTGCCATGATGTCTGGATTCCGGAGTTAGCGAAGTGGTTGTGACGCAAATGCTGAGATAGATGTGATGAAGTTTGCAACGGCACGTGCATCGTCGTAAGCACAAACGCGACGGACCACTTTTACTACTATGGATTCGGATATGGATTTACAGCCGACCACGGCTATCGGCGATATCAGACTCGTGTTATTTTCCCGCTTGATTTTCCGGTTCATCAGTTTGCCGGTATTTTGTTTGTTATTTATTTCTACCCGTTTTCACTAATAAAAAGGAGACTTGCTCCCTTTGAAAAAAAAAAAAAAACTAATGTATTTTTAATTGGATACTACAACGAAATTTCGGCGCTCATTTTTTGGCCTATATGTGTTCAAAGGAGCAGCATCACATCGAACATTCCAATATTTTGTTAAAAAAGTCACGAAAAGGAATTTTAAAACAAATTAAACGATTAGCAAAGGGCACCTGGTGGATGTCGCTAACGCCTCGCTCGTTATGCCCGTCTAGGAACCTTGACAGCTAGTGACGGAGGTTGTCTCACCTCCGGCCACGACGAGAGAAGAGGGGCAAAAGGAACTCCCCTCTTCCCTAGAATGCCTTTTGTGTGTCGCAGAAGTCGCTATTGTCCCCCTACAAGATTACAGAAGATTAACCCGTCACTCAAAATTCGTACAAAAGCAGCCGCTGCGGTGGCTGGAACGACTAGGCCATCCCCTCGACGTCAGCCTCGCCGTAGCTTTGCTCGTCTTGAGACGACCTACGTCACGATTGCGTTGGATGTCACGTGCTCTAAGCTGGGCCTTCTCCGAGCGCTTGCCACAGAGTGGGCCGTTTATAACGAAAAATACAGCCAGCAGGCTCAAAATACAAACGTGCAATTGTCATTTACGGATATTGTGGATCATATTCAACCTTTTTTTGAACGCGACGGAAATATTTCAAATTTCGTTGAAGTACCCCTTTAACGTGCACCAGGCCGTAGTGATCCACGACCGCACACTGGTGCAATGCTCATCCGGATGGAAACGGGCAGGGGTGGGGATTGAACCGAGGATCCTGGGTTCCGCAGCGCAAGGTTTCACTCTCTGTGCTCTGAGGTGGTGTGCGCTAGCCCACTCGGCCACCGATCCCCCCAGCATGATGTCCAACTCTGCTGTGGCCTGCCGACCCGCCTCCGCTTGTGTACTTCAGTTTACGTTCACGTGGTTGCGTAAAAGGATTTTGCACAAAGTCGGTGCAGCTGCGCGACGCGGTCTTCAACTTTGTGTTGGGGCTTGCCGACAAGCCTCCGCTTGTGTACTTTCATTTACGGTCTGTAACTTCACTCCTGGAATTGTGTTTTATTGATTGATTGATCTTTTATTTCATCCGTTTTTTATGGTTCACATGTGTGGCATTTTTCTTGTTGCAATAAAATTAACCTTTTCATAAATGGGTGTTGAAAAAAAAATCCAGTTGTTTCTAATTTACTTTTTTTTTTCTATTATAATTTGTGATTCAATGAAAGTTAAATTTACATAGCTTATCTGCCATTACAATCTGACTACAATATGTACTTGGTTCTGATGTAACCTACTAATTAGTTTTGTTAGCATTGCAAATTGACAAATTTGACAAAAAATGAACTCTGAAAAGACGGAATATAAGAGAGACAGAGAGAGCTTTCCGAGCCAACGGGGGAATTCCCAATGCTCCTAGCTTGTCGGTGCAAAGCTGGATGCGTGTGCCAGTGGGAGACGGTAAAGCGGTTGCACAATTACGGACTCTAAGCGATTACGATTATTAACGGGCGGCTGCGAGCCGGGAAGACGTAAAAACTGGCAAAATGGGATAGGCTCCACTGCATGGAGCGCAATTGGTCTAGCCGAGAATGGTTGGTCTCCCGCAACTTTTGCTCTTTGTCTTATTAATAGTAATAATGGTAATAGAAAAATAGACCCTTTGACTAAATGAACCGTTTTGTTCAAGGACGGAAAACGGGGAACGTCTCTCACATCTCCGAAAGCCACGATGGAGAACGACGCTTTCGAAGGCATCGGAGACGACGACCTCTGAGTGCCACACTGGGCCTGGAGGACTGGCGGAGAACCAGTGCCAAGCTGCTCGGACGCCACACTTCCTTCCAGCACCGCCTCCCCAACAGTCGGCAGACGAGAAGTTCTGCTGGTGGGCCAACACAGACTGGTCACAAGCTGCGGGAGCGGGTTGCGAGATTTGTTAACGGGTTCCACGACCGGAACTCGAAGTCTTCTCTCTGCGCTTGCACATGTCACTTTCGCCGTACGTGGCCGGCGTAAGACGGTTCCGTCCGTGGAAACTCCGCCCTCGGAGGGCGGGTGCACCGAGGCCACGCGACAAGCTGGCGTGGGGTTGGTTCTCTTCGCGGTTTCGACGCAGTTGTGGGCTGGCCAGTTTGTCGGTTGTGGGTGCTTTTTTCCTACTTAGTTTTTGGCCAAAGTTTATTTGCCTCATTTTTTACTTCGCTAAATTAGCTACGGTTTAGTTATTTTGAGTCACGGTATAATACGCCGAGAAACACGGACAAAAACGGTGCAGTGTGCGAAGGGGCTCTCGGGGGGGTGGGTACGTCCGTCGTCTTGCCTTGTATTCCCAAGATGTCCCACAATCTAAACAAGGTGGCCTATCGCTTTGACGTACCGGTTGTTTTTTCTGCACCAAACAAACAAGAGCAGACCGGGAGAGACCCGCAAAAAACGACGTGTCGCTAAGTTCCACGAGCGCACCACTAGCGTCTCGTACGAAATTGCTCCGTCATGTGGTGAACGGTGGTGAAACATGGAGGTGCATCGATGATAGGGTCAGAGAGCGTGCGGTGGCGATCGGTCAGTCCCCGTCTGGCCACCTGGCGGTGCACTGTGACCGTCGCCACGAGAAGCCCCTTCTTTAGTGAGACCTGCGTCGTGGTCCGTTAGAAAACAAAAAGGGGCAGATAAATTCACGAAGCCTTCCGGATGAAGGCCCACCGCGACAACTCTGGCGTAAGCGCACCCTCTTTGTCATTGTCCGATAAAGAATTCTACTATATGAAGAACCACTGACGCTGGTATCTGAGGGGTGTGTGTTTTTAGACCATATTCTTGTGTTCTGCCAAGTGATTTCATCCAAATGAACCATTCAGTTGAAAGCTACACCGCATCCAGTTCTCCCTTCGTTTTCGTTTGTGTTTTTTGGCGTATTATACCATGATGCAAACCAACTAGCCATCCTTATTCAAATCCATTATTATGAGAGGATCTGTTTAGTATTATAGTTGAAGACGTTCCTTCGTCCCTATTTGTATGGGAGCGTTTGTTTTCAAGTGGTCGATTGGGCAAGGGCTCAAGGCGTCATTCTTTAGCGTTTCACTTTTACCATTCGAACCTTCCATGAAATGCTCACGTCAAAGTGCGGTGCGCTTGCCGATAATTTGGGGACCTTTGGAATGTGTAAAGCGTGTGGATGGTAGGGTCCTAAGACGCAGTCGGAAATCTCTGTAGTGGACCTTGGAGTTGACGATAAGCAAACAGAGACATCAATACCGCTTGCTTTCTGCTTTTGTCACATTCAGACGCAACGGGTCGTGTTGTATTTTCCGCAGTGTGGATCGGCCGAACGAAGATTTTGTGCCAAAAGTTAGCTCGAGCCTGGATGGAGGAGATTGGAGGTTGATACGTCGAAATGTGCACGGACATGGTGTGCACTCACTGGTGGCAATTAGCTTAAAAATCTCTTCCAATGTGCAGTTGGACGACACTCGCTGAGCATTGCCCCCTGGCCGTGTCTGTAAATAGTGTGCTTTTGATATGTCCAGAAACTGGGAAAGGATGTTTTGCGAGTATATGTACAGTGCGTGGGGAGGCCAAGGCTTGTTGACAGTGTGTATATACATAAAGGTGAGCATCTATCTATATTTTGTATCATTCCAACGAGTATTGGGGCTGTCTGCTCGATTGTTTTATATCGATTGTGACCGTTTTTATCTCGACTCTCAAGAGGAGGCGATGTGAGCGGGCGTGCAGCCAAACATTTGTTTGGCTGCCGGTTCTTGTTTCTGTTTTCCCCGTAGAGAATACTCATGCTTCGAATGCTTTACACATTGTTTTTAAAAAAAGCTGCGGAAGCTGCTCTAATGGAGTCTGTATAGGCGAGTTATATTGCGAGGGGGCCTTATAGGCCACTGAATGTCGCAAAAAGTCAGATAATTAACTTACTGTTTGTTCATTAACGTCTTAATTGGTGAAAATGAACAAGTTCCAAGTAGAAACTTGCTAAGCATTGAGAAAAACCGCTACATGGGTCGTGTTTAGAAAGGCTCGAGGTGGGGAGTGCAGGGATGCACTGACCTACGCAACACACGCGAAGCTGGGGGTGCCAAAACAGGGATGATGAAATTCTCATCCAGATTTTTGCAGCACCAGCCTCGTGCCATTGCACAGAAGATAACCTTAGCGCCCCACCACACTTCCCCCCACTCCTTCTAAAGTCTACTAATGAATGGTTTTTGAGCAAGTTTCTCATGAGAACTGTGCGTTTATTTTTACTAATTCAAAAGTTAAGGAACATGTTTTAGTTATTGGGATGATTAGCCCCTTATAGTATGTCCCCTTGGCATATGGCCCACCTGCCCAAACGGCATTGGTAGTGTAGCTTCTATGGCTTTCTTTCCACAAATCTGTAAAAGGCCTAAAAAAAACAGCATATAGTAGCACGTTTGGCTGAGGTTTCTGGAGGGCAATGTTTTGTTCAGTTGGAAAGCTTACCTTTTCCTTAAACCGTATGGTGCTCTTTGCTGTTCCTTGAACCGTATCGGAGCCATCCAGTCTTCCCAGATTTTATTTTATTTGAATGACTATGCTGCGAGCTAGGCTTTGTAGTTTTGCTTTTAATTGTTTGCATCTTTGTGGGAAGTCACTCAGTAAGAAACAAATCTAGCAACTCTTTCTGGTTTTGTTATTTACACTGATAAGAGAGAAAAACAACTTGAGATTTGCATTGAGCCTCCAGAAACTGACAGGAAATGCCTTAGGCCTGAAGGGAAGCCCCATAATGAATATTAGTTTACTATTTCCATATTATTTGAACGTTGACTGTAAGCAATCCTTATGTACTATCCACACATACATTTCTTGTTTTATATTTATCGTGTAACGATGACTGTGCCCAATTTACAATCTTCTGCGGTATGTGATACTTCATAGTACTTGGGATTTCTCTTGGTTTTGGATGATATAGTGCGAGTCCAGTCTGCAAATATTTTGCTTATACTCTCTTGTGCTTTTGGGGCAGAATAGCTATTGCAAATCCGAAAATAATCCTTAGATAAATTCAGGGTTTTTTTTTCGTAAAAATGAACTTTTTTTTTTATATGGTGTTTCTGTTGCCTTGGTATGTAGACAACTCATTCTTGGTGCAAAAGTGCTTGTTTCAATGTGTCTTCTCACATGTTATTCTGATGACTATTTTAGGGACAGCTGAAATGGTTATGGACTCGAGTAAAGAGGGAATAAAAGTGATTTCTGTGCACCTTGACAGATTTTGCCTCGTCTCATATTCATGGGAGGGCCGTCATCGATTAGTGTGGTCCCTGGCAGAACGCATGCTTCTGCGGACGTCTTCAGGATGGGGGTCTGGACATTTCCACCAACACCATTTCATGGAATGCGGTTTCACCAAGCGCCATTTCATCAAACGCTGTGACCGACCTCGCGAGCCAGTTTGGCTAGGCCACCAATGCATGCATCGAGGGAAGCCTTTCTGCTCGTGCAACAGCCACGCTGGAGCTCTGCTCATGCAGGGCCTCCTATAAACTGACAAAGCCCGGCAGAAAATAGAAAAGGTGGAGCGGCAGACGACGGATGAGAGGAAGGCCACGTGACTGGCGCCCCGCTGTGGCGAGATCCCGAAACTCGCTTCTCCCGACAGTGGCTTAGCAACTGCTTTCTGAGTGGGGGGGCAAACCAGACCAACCAACCCCCCCCCCAGAGCCGGGAGGCTGTACCCTTGGTATCCTTTGGGCGCCGCCAGCCAGTGTTTGCCCTGTCCAGTGGCGGCTGTTTCAGGGGGGGGGCAAAACACATGCCTTGCTCCCCACTCTGAGAACTAGGGGGGCCGAGCGCCCCCCTTGCCCCCCCGGTTGGTACACTCATGTGTCGCGAGCGAACAAGCGTGTTTCGGGTCCTCGCCGCTGCAAAAGCTGCGTGCCGACGTCCAGGTTTCCCGAGAAATGGCTCTTTGATGCTCTTTGGTCTTCGCGCTCCAAATCTGAGACCGGGCACTCTACGGCTCTGTTGTCGAAGTGCCAGGCTTTAGGAGTATAGAGGAGGCTATGACAGAGCACAAGACGGGCACTGCCGCCTCCAAGCTCAAGTTCTTCATGCATGCGCCCAACACTTGCTGAGTAGTCTAGTATTGAGCACTAAAAATTCTGAATCTAGTGAGCAGTTTCCTTTTAACACCAGGAGAATAGCAGAATTATTTTCATTTTTGACCTTTTGTAGCAGGTTCCGTAGCAGGCGCAATATTGGTTCTGAGCAGCCACTGTCTCTTTTGAAGCAGATGCCAACATCTGTTCACTTGAGAAGGAAAAAGTGGTCTCTAAATGAGTTCATTTAGGATAGTGACTGAGGGTTCCTCTTTGTGCTCGGGCATATTACTTATCACCTTTTGCAATAACGACAGATAGGACGTAAAAGGAACACAGTTTTCTTAAAGCTCTAGTCGGGGGTTTTATTTACAATGAGTATTACAAAATGTTTGAAAAGTGAATCATAGCGCGAGGCTTCATTGAAATAAATCTTCTCTCCCCTCCCCATTTTACGCTCGGTAGTTTGTTTAACCGGTAAATAGAATTTCTGTAAGATGCCAGCAAGAACCAACATGTCCACTAACAATAAAAATGCATCCTGTACGTTTAAGGAACCTTCCATACTCCAGACACTAACATAATAAACTGCAAAAACAACCACACAAAAATGTTCTAAAAGCCTAGACTTGCGCTTTGAAGGCGACTCTGCTCTTTAGTGGCGCAGGGACCAGAGTTATTCGCTGCTCTTTCGATCGACAGCTGCTAGTGAACTACCATGACTACCGTATTGATTCAAATATATAGTTTTCTCTTTCTCTGCTTTTTTTTTTTATAGCGCAGCTCTTACGCACCTGTTTCCGGGTTGAGCGGCGTCGCTGTAACTGCGTGCATTGCATTCTGGGACGTTTTCCCGCTAAAGTTAGTGGAGAAATTTCCCCCTTAAGTTTAGCAGAAAAATGATGAGCCATTCCACTCTGTGAAGGTGGATACCAGCGAAGCTGTTTAGCGTACGACACAGACGTGACGCAGAATTTTGAACTAAGGTACGAATACATTTATTGTCTCGATCAATGGTCATCAACACACACGTACAAGACAGAAAAGAAATACTAGTGTGACGACACAATCGTGCAGGCTATAAGATTATTGTGAAAGTTCCATGATATCCAGATACTTATAATTTATAAATCAGTTATCTGTCTTTGTGGAATGCAAAAGTATTTTTTGAACGAGAATGGTGAGGGGCAGGCACTTTAATCAGAGCCGTTTGTGCTGAGAGAGTTTGGCCTTCTGTACGAGATTTTGACAGCCTGGCAAGCACAGCGGCATAGTCTGAGGACCGGGGGATGACTACTTCCGTCTGCCATTTTGGGGCTCTGACTCGTGGTAACTGTGCAATTTCTCAGCATTAAAGAAGACAAAGAAGTAACGCCTTTTTGTGTTATCGCAAAATCCGCCGGTTCTAGCGGGCAGCAAGCTCCGCCCATAAACGGTTCTGGCTTTCATGCGAGTCGGGCCCCCTCTGACGCGAAACCCTGCGCATGCCTCTGCATATTTATTTATTTCAAAATACTGCGACCTCGATGAGGTCATCGCAGGAGTGGAGAGAAAACATACATATACATTCAAAAAGGCCATCGATTAAAGATGTGCATACCCTGCGAAACAAAACGTAGAAAACCGTGAAAAATGCAATATAAAAAAGAGTACAAAAACAAACAGATACACTTCAATTGCAGATTCCAGGCACCATACCAGAACACCTACTGTATTTCTAATACAAACCTATCAAAATCGAGACAACGAACTGATCCATTTATGTTATTCCAATTTTCTATCAGGATATTTGAAACAGTTAAGGTGGGCTCTGTACGATACAAGATTTAATGGATGGAAGCTTCGATTGTGTGATTCAGTAACAAAACTAACATATTTTTCCCGATTAAGTGCACAGTTATTATTCCCTATTTTGTGTAGGAGCTTGAGCCGTTCTACAGCGCGTCTAGAATCAAGAGGCGCAAGTCCTATGTCAGTCATAGTAGATGTAGGAGAAAAATTGCGGTCATATCTATTACAAATAAATCTAGCTGCCTTTGATTGTATTGCATCAATCTGCTTAATATCACCCTTTAGATACGCATCCCACACCACACAACCATACTCTAAGATAGGTCTAATCAAGGTTTTATACGCCATTATTTTCACTTCCCTAATTGAAGATTTTAAAGTTCTCTTGACATATCCTAGCCTTTGCAGAGCACGAGAACAAATAGAACTGATGTGCTCATCCCATTTGAAACTAGGCGTGAAAAAAATACCCAAATACTTGTATTCATGAACTTGACGCAGAATTATATATTACTAGTACCATACCTAAAAACAGACGGTTCCTTCTTATTAGTAAATGACGTAACTGCAGATTTCTCAAAATTAATTTCCATCTGCCACTTTTAGAGCACAGCTCTTAGGTGCCCGTTTCCGGCTTGAGCGGCGTCGCTGTCGCCGTCGGCGTAACCAAGGTCACGTGAGCCCCCAAGGTCACGTGACCCCTCCCAAGGTCACCCCAAAGTCACGTGACCCCCCAGGTCGCGTAACCCCCCGAGGTCATGTGACCCCTCCCAAGGTCACGTGACCCCCCCCCCCCCCCCCCCCCGAAATCACGTGGCCCCCTCCCCGAGGTCACGTGACCCCCTCCCTCTAGGTCAGGTGACCCCCCCCCCCCCCGGAGCATATTAAAGAATGAGGGGAGGAGGAGGAGCGGTCTACCCTCCCCTCAGTACCCTTCCCTCCTCCTCAAGAGCTGCGCTCCAATTCGGCGTTAGAGGGAGTTGTAAACGGCTTTCACTTTTTACTCCAATTAAAAAAACTGTTCAAAAGAGTCATTTAGCAAGGCATGGTCATCTACCGAGTTGATTTCGTTGTACAAAACGCAATCATCTGCATAGAGGCGAATTTTAACTGGAAGCCCATTTGCGACGTCGTTAGTATAAAGTAAAAACAAAAGAGGTCCTAAAACCGGTCATGATTTCAGAAATACAGAGGGGAAGAGAAGATGGGTTATAAAGAAAGTTTGGGTTAGGTGGCGCAAGCTACAGCCCGATACAAAGGGTACAGCCGGTAACACAGAGTAACAACTGCCGACGGCGACCCCAGCGACGCCAGCGACTCTGGCTCTGCTCTGACTCTGCTCTGGCAACGAAATTACACTGAAACGAAACAATCCTCGATCCGCGAACTAGCCGACTAGCTTACCGCAAAAGAGAGGTCGGGTAAATTTTGGAACATTGTCCGACCCTTTTTATCTACTTTCTATCGGCGACAGGAGCAGTCTCTTTTTCCGCATTTGCTCGCAGTATTTTTATTTCAAGATTCCAGCTGTACACGTCATGTTGGTCCAATTTTCGCCGACTTATCTCGAACCGCTTTGACGAAAGAGCGCGCTTTTGCAACGAACCACGAAGTGAGCACGGATACTCTGCCGCCGCTGTGAAATTAGTGTCGGGTGTGCGATCCAGCGGAGTCCGCGACCGGCCCCAGCGGTGAGGCCCGTGAAGCCTACGCAGATCATGTTCCAAAACAGCCGCTCCTGCTAGAAGCCTGCTGGTGAGTACCGAACTGCCTCGGTCGTCAGGCGCTTTTCACCGAGCTCCTTCCTCGAGGTAGATGTGTTTCTGACCCGTAGTTTCCAAAGACCAAAAGCAAAGTGCAACGAGCACTCAACTAGCCAGTAAACGCTGTTGCAAAGTCCTTGCGTATGAGCCGGACGAGTGATTCGAGGAGGCGGCGAGCTGTCAACACTCCGCAGGCTGCGACAGTTCTTCCGGGTCGGTCATTGAACCAGTTGCGGGCGGTCATTCATTGGGCCTCGTGTGCGTCCGTTGCCTACCCGAGCAGTTTTGGATCGTGCGGGCTCCGTGTTTAATATCACGCTCAATCGAATTGCACCGACGTAGGAAAAAAGAAGGGCACAAGGAGTAACCATTTCCGACGGTGCCAACGCGGCATTTGACAGATTGTAGAACGCAGGCTCTTTTGGAGCGCTCTCAATCAATTATCAGCCGCAATTAAGCTTGCTCTAATATGCCTTGAGGTGGTTGATCACACTATTTCTGAAGAGAGAGGAACAACTTTATTGGAACACCACATCAAGAAGCCGCAGGATAGACGTTCACGTACCGCGGCTCCCCCCCAATCCCCCTAAAAAAAAAAAAAAAAAAGTGTTCCTGAAAAAAGGAAGAATGCAACGAACAGCCAAAACGAGCTTGTTATGGCAGGAAAGCAACCGTCTGGCCGACCCCATTCTCACGCACAATATGAAACTTGACCTTTGAAATGAGCACCCGAAAGCAGGTCCAGCAGATGCGAGCGTGTCTGGCTAGGGAGCCTACGTGTCTGGCACCACCTGTGAACCACTCTTGCTTTCCGTTTTTTCCTGGCAAAAAAAAAAAAAAAAATAATAATAATAATAATAAATAAAAAAAGAAAGGTATTTTTTTTAGCTTTCCCTTTTGCATGATCGGACTGTCTGAGAAGTTTAATCGCATTTCGTTGATTGGCTAATTTATACAACTTGCTTTATAGCGTTCTGAAACAGCCTGTCGATCCTACTGGGCACAGGCATTCCCAACCAAAGATCAGTTGTTAACCTTAATAACCCAGCCCTCGAGCGCAAGATGTTAGAGGTTCCATTTGTCGGCTCTTGTAATGCCTCGAACCAGTGCACCCCACGGGCAAAGCTAGACAGACCTGAAAAGGAAGAGCTCTCTGTCCTTTGCACCTTACCTGCTTAATATATCTTCCATTCTATGTCTTTCATTGCCGCCCCGAGAAAGATGAGAATGGTTAGGCATCTTTGCGGAACAAAACTTGAAGGGGCCCTCCAATCCTATTTAAGCGTCTTCCTTTTTTGCGGTTTCCACATCTCTTGTGGTAGGGGAAATCCAGTGGGAACGGAGAGAGCAACTAAACATTGGTGCATTATATTTTAACCGGGTGACATGGAAACCTCTTCCTCCTAAGGGGGTGCCCCGCGGCGCTGAACACGGGGCATGTGACGAAATTGTGATGTCAGTCCCGGTCAGCTTCTGCCTTGCAACTGGTCAGAGCCACTAAAAGCACTTTTTTTTAGTCGAAATAAAAAATATACTGTAAACAACTCAATTTTCGCAAAAACCTAATTTTTGCAATTTTGCGAACCTCCTACAATTTGCAAAAAATAAGTCCTGTGAACCATTCCAGTAAGATGTAAACACATTAGAATCTAATCGAGATCCCACTGGTCGCAAAAATTAGAACCCGCCAATTACTCAAAAATTTCAGCTTTGACCGAAATCGTAAAATATTGAGCCAGCAAAAAATAAGTCGTTTACAGTAAGTGGCACAAACCATTTCATTTGGTTATGAAAGTAGCTTTTGTTCAGAATTTTAGGTGAGAAAACAAAAACAAATGAATGCAGTTTATAAAGTATGGAAACAAGAAATGACCCATGGACATACCGGCCACCAAGCGGTGGAAAAGGCCGCGCAAACTAGAGAGGGGCAGTGGGATCAGGCGCCAACGTGCGCCACATTTTGTTGTGAAGTGGTGGGCGTGGAAAGGTCCCGGATGTATGCGGCGGTGCTTCGGTCGCCAAGGGCTGGAGGATCCGACCTGTTCCGAGCGTTCCAAAGGCCTTCGGCGAGGAGGTTTGGCTTGCGGTTTGGCCGTTTGGCAGTGCCAAGTGGCTCCCATTCTGCTTTACCCCGTGTTTGCTGTCGTTTATGGCCAATGGAGTGTCATGCCGAGGTAAATGCCGAATCGACGACAACGCCACTGCTTCGCTCCGGGGTGCCAGTCAGGCTATCAGTAATGGAAAGGTGAGCAGCCGTTGCTGTTCTCAGAACCAAAGGAGGAAGAACAAAAAAATGTTTGGGTACAGAACTTGCATTGCAAGGATAAGCTCCTGGACGAAATATGTTCGATGCGCGTGCTTCATTTTGAGCCATTGTTTGTAACGCGAGACTTTGTTCCCATTATGAACGGAGAAGAGGTGCGCAGTCCTTGTGGAAAGCCGGAGCTGCTTCCGGATGCTCCAAGCTAGCTGTCGAAGAAAGTGTCTCAGCCATGCCCCCGAGAAAGTGAGAATGCCTTCCTCAGTTGAGGCTGAAAGAAGCACCGCCTCTCCAACTGTCTGCACCACACCGGCTGCAGCCGGGGTATTTGATGAAACCTGTCTGCCCAAAGAATACTGGAGCTGTCACTCCGAGCCTCAGTGGGATTTTTTCACGAGACAGCATGCCTGGTGTTGTATACACTGTGCATCTTTGTGGCCGCATGGGAAGAGAGAATGTAGGGGAAATCAGCTTTAACAATATACAGGGCACAAAAACAAGAAACAAGGAACAGTTGCATTATAATTCATTAGGGAGCTCATTGCTGTTTGACGCTAGAACGGGGGTACTAAGACCGAAAACATATAGGGATAAATTCTAGGAAGTAGACACTATGCGGCGTAAGTGACCGTGAAAGGGAAACTATAGAACATGAAATTTTAAGGTGCACAAGGCTTCGTCCCACCCTCTTGGGGGAGGGACTACGGATTTGGAGGAGGCATTGGGATTTGCAGACATGGATGGACGAACGGATAGGGAAAGAATTGCGGTAATTAAGAGGAGATTGGAAGATTCGTGGAAAAGATCTAGGGAGATGTGAAAATGCAGATAAAAATACGGAATGGAAACACTTTAAAAGGGGGGGAATGTGTTAAAAAACATTTATACAAATTTTAAGAAAAGAAGGGATGACGAAATGTTAGGCTAGGTGGCGCAAGCTGCCGCCCGTCACAAAGGGTATAGCCATTACCATCTATCCATGGCTGAAGGAGGACACGTTGTTAGCTGTGAAAGCTTCCCCCTGCTTCTAGTGACAGACTCTTGGTTGGCCCACCTGTCTTAATATACTAAGTGCAAAAACACTCGGGCATCGAGACGCCGCCCAGGAAATCAGTCTGGCGGCGTTCGCCTCGCGCGTGGCGCATTTGTGCTTTGTACTATGCGCAAAGCAAACACAGCCAGACGAATTGTGTCACTCGTTTGTCACATATTCCTTTTGTGGAGTTCGGAGGTTCGGACCTAAAACGGCAAACTCTTCGAGCCAAAAAGCTTCAAGGAAGAGTGTTTAGTCGCGCAACAAATGCAATGCGAGCCACCCTGGCCGCCCGCTTCATGCAGCCTATCCAGCCCGTGCTTTAGTGGCGCCCTCTTGAGCCGTCAACACGGAGTGCGGCAGCCGTGAGCGCTCGCTGAGCTCACTACCTCTCCTGTAGTTGACGGCCACCCAGGTCAGGGCCAGGGACGTCGTAAAGGAGGTTATTTTTTGCTTGTTTTTGTAATTTTAATTTGCCTATAACTTTTAAAATAAAGCGAAATTGGAGAAAAGTTTATCTAAGTTACCTGTTCAGGGTGCTCAGGTTTGGTGAAAATTACAAACCAGTGAAAAAGTCGTTGCAGGGCCTCTTTAAGCAATGCAACATGTGTAGAGTTGTAAGAGGCCATGCAGTTGCGTTTGAGCGGTACCGGCGTCCCACTCGTTTGCGTACGACGGTTTGGGAAAAGGCGATTTCATTGAAGGGAAACCTAGCGGGCATGCATTCTGCTTTGTAGGAAAGAGAAAGAAGACTGCTTTCTGGGCAATCCGACACCTCTATTTTTAGTCAATAATCCTTCTTCTTTTCATGGTGTAGGGCAGGGGTAGCCAAGCTGCGACCATGCGTCTCTTTGCTTGTTAAAGTGCGGCTCCCTCCCCTACCCCCCACTACCCCGCCTCCCTCTCGGTCACACGAGCACTTCCCCAAAAGGATAAATGGAACGCGTTTTAAATCGGAAAGACAGGTTAAGGTTTGGTAGTCTTGTGCTACTACTACCTTATGTACAGTTGCATTGCTTTTGACTCGGATAGATTAAAGGTAGCTCGAGTGTTGTTTATTGCTGTAAACAAAAATTTGCCCCCCCCCCCCCCCCCCCCCCCCCCCCCCCCCCCCCCCCTCACGTGGCTCTTGGAAGTTTTGTGGTTTTATTTACTGCTCTCAGGCCAGGTCAGCCTGGCTAAGCCTGGTATAGGGGTTTGCAAACACTCGCCGTAATGAACAGGAAGTTGATAGTTCTCGTTGCCATGGTGTGGACCGCTTGCTATGCTCCTGCGCCGTCACTAGTCTTGACGCCGGCATTTGCTCAGATTGCTTTCTCAGCTCGACTCCGTCTTTCCTGCCAACTCAGTTCCATTCTCTCTCTTTGTCAACTTTTGAAAGGATTGTCAAAAGATTTTTTTTTAACTTTCCTCATAATCCCCAGTTTCTTAATATTAAAGTCTCGCTTTGTGACTTCTCACAACTCGTTTTATCTGAAGTTTATTTATTTATTTATACATAGTGCCGGCTGCCATTTGGCAGCCAAGGCAGGAGAGGGCACACAGGGCAACACACAAGAAGAAAACCACATTGCATGCTAGTGAAAGAAAAAGCATCTAGGACTGCACATCTAAGAAATAACGCTGTAATGATGAGGCGAATTCCTGAATGGACGAGATATTGGTAATGTTGGCAGGAACACTATTCCATTCGTTAATG